GTGCTGTTATACTGTTTCAATGCCGGCGTTAGGGCGTCGGTCCATTTCATGTTGTTAAACCTAACTCTATCGTGAATTTTGTTTTTCATCGTTCTAATAAAACGCTCGGCCACATTTGCGTGGGTCTTCGTAACGATGTGGTTTATTCCTTCACTGTTGAAGAAATCCTGAACGTGATTTTTAGTTGCAAACGCTCCGTCGTCATCAGAATACACGGACATCGGATAACCCATCTTTTTAAAGCTTGCTCTCAACGCCTTCAAAACGTTCTCTCCGTCTCTTTCCTCCATCGGTATTACATCTGCTAATTTACTGAAGATGTCAATCACGACTAAAGCATACTGTGGAACGTTCTTGTCTTTTGCTAAAGGAGACATATGCATTATGTCTATTTGATATTCATATCGTGCGAATGGAGCGGTATAGGAATTAGTTCCTCTATAATTTTTGATTTGTTTATTTGGCTGTTTCTTTAAGAAAGACTTTACATCGTCTAATGTTATTGTTGGGTCTTCTTCCTTTGCCTTCTTGTGTGTCGCTTGTGTGCTTCCGAAACCCTCGTCTAAGTCGTAATAGATGTTGCTGATTATTTGGTCTTTTGTTAATCTCGCCATTATATTAAATTGTTAGAAAATATTTTTTCAATAAAAACCCCGCCCCTTAACATAAAATAAAAAACTACTTAAAGAAATATTAACTTATTATATTAAGTGAAAATATGACTGAAAATGTCGGAGTGATTGCTGACTTATCAAACTGGGTGCTATCAGACGAAGAAGATGATGATAATGACAGTTATAAAAAGGAATTAGATGACGAGTTAAACAAAATAAAGGATTTCGTCAAAAGACACCCTTTGCCATCAGTTGATGAAAACGAAGAATTCTGGAAAGATGTTATTAACAGGTTTAGGGATAATAGCGGATTAAACTTGATGACAATATACTCATTTGTTAGGTTTGACATCATGAAAGAAATGTATGAAAACCTAACAGATGAAAACATCATAAAAGACTGTGGTAAAAAGTTAAACCGAGATGGGCAGTTTAATGCTATGATTATTAATCACTATATCTTATCGGGAGCGATACGGAAACTAAACACAGAAGACAGTCTAGTAGATGGACAGATGCGAATTATTGAATTCTGGTGGGATGGAATAGGTGGATGGAAAGCGTGAGTGATTTAGTTTAATGATATTATTCAATTATAATATGATTAAACCTAGTTTTTATAATCTAACAATGAGGTTAAGACATTTAAATTAAACCTGAAACCCAGACCAGCCGACCAGCAACCCCCTAGCCAAAACTACTTAAAGAAATATTACCTTATATATTAAGAGAAAAATGAGTAAGGGTAAAATGTCAGAGAATAATTTTATGGTTGTGAATTGCGCTAGCTTACCTGAAGGCTTAGTTTCAATCATCACTACTTACATTAATGGTAGTGAAGGGTGGCAAAGACTAAAACAGTGTAAAGCATTAAGGGTCTTACAAAGGAAATGGAAACCGTCTATTTACACTGAACGAGTAGGAGAAAGTAGATATTATGTTGAGATTCGCAATAAATGCTTAAAAGGTGATAAAGCGCTTTCATATGCGTTGAAACCACCAAAAGAATTATTAAGAATGATGAAGTATGATGAAGAAATACAGGTTGGAATAGAAGTTAGTTCGAAAATTATGTATCATAATAATATTAGCAACTGTCGTTCTTATTCATCATCTAAACAGAATAAGATTTCAAGTAGAGCGTCATTACAATACCATATTGAACAAGCAGTTGAAGAAACCAAACAGACTATGAAACGACACGAAATCATTACTATCGATCATGTTATAATTGAAATTTATAGAAAACAGAAACAATGATTTCATGGTTTAATCATAATATTTAATTATAGTATGATTAAACATTGTAAACTTTTATAACCTTTCATTATACTGTAATTTTAACCTATAACAAAATTTCATTAACAAAACATATATCAAAACAAATACAACACCAACACCCCAGAACTTGATAACTACTAAAAGGGCTACCTCTTTCAAATGAAAAAAATGTCTGCCCCCAGCCCAACAATGAACAAGGCGACAATTTACCCAAATGATTACCTTAACGAAAACGATAAATAAGCTCCCCAAAAACCCTCTATTAAAAACGAATAAGGGGGAACACAGATTTGAGATGAACATAAAAACCAGAACAGGCAACCCTCAACAGGCCACCCCCCAGGCCCCCTACTTTTACCATTTTTTCCCCCCCCCTCAAAAAAAAAAGAAAAGAAAAAGATTTGCCCTCAAAAACAGCACGGGCGTTTCGCAAAATGCCCCCTTTTCAGGTTGGTTCAAGGGAGAAGGGAAACAGCGGTTTGGAGGTTGATTTGATAATACCTGGATAGAAGTAACTGGCACAACTTTTCGGCACAGGGCAAGCATACGGAATGACCAAACTCAGGTAACCAGGCTGATATTTGGCTGGTGGCTCTGTAAGCTTTTCCTTTGAACCACTCATGGACTCATGGCCTGAAAACAATGCGATGTTGCCCGAAGTCCTGTGTGGTTGCCCTGACAAGAAGGTGTGAAATCCTTCAGGGCGTGTCCTTTTCTTGAGGACAACCAAGACTAAAGCCAGCCGTGTTAAGGGAAAGAGGGTCTCCCATTTTGAGAACCCATGTGACACCCAAATTGGGTAAGCCTGGCAACCTAGTTGCCACCCTCCAGGCTTGGCATACCAGGGGCAAATCGAGAAGTGTTCGCTTCTCGGAGAAAAGCAGATGATGGCAATATATGGCAATGTTGCCCCCTGCGTAAAACAGTTGCATAGCTGCTTGTCAGTGTGAAACTACACCTTCCCAAAACAGTTGCAGGTAAAGATCCAACCAAATAGCACCCAAGAAAATGAGGAAGAAGCCTAGCAGTAAAAATGTTTCAGCTTGGCAGCTGAAGTGGCAAGAGTCATCAATTAAATTAGGGGTCCCAGATCTATGGGGTTTAGACCTTACCTCAAAATATCTCAAATTATCTCAAATTATCCCAAATTATCTTATTTTTGCATCTAATGTGCAAAAAAATGCCAAAAAAAAAGTGCAAAAACATGCAAACACGTGCAAAAACATGCAAAACAAGTGCAAACAAGTGCCAAAAAGTGCAAAAACCTGCAAAAAATGTAAACAAATGCAACAAAATGCAAAACAAATGCAAAAAAAAAAAACAACACACACAAAAGTGCAAAACAGCATGCAAACACAACAATTATGCAAACAACGTGCACGAAATGCAAAAACAACAAAATCAACAAACTAATGCCACAAACTGCAAGAAATGCAAAAAGCAACATCAAAATGAATGTCGGGCATGGCAAGCACTAAAAGCATGATGACAACAATGAATCCCATAATTCTACTGGTGGTGTTTGCTGTTGTTGCGTTTGTTGTGTGTGTTGTGTTTGTTGTGTTTGTTGCGTTTGTTAGGACCTTACTCTTAACAGCACATGTGCTTGTACTTGCAGGGTCCTTAGATAGGCTACTCCCGCTAGAGAATAACGATGTTGAATGAAAGTACAGCCATTACAGTTCATAGAGAAGTACCCTTACTTATTATGTCTTTAGCGGGAGTAAGCACATGCCTCCCCGCTAACTACATATCCATGGAAGCACAGTACAATTTTTCGACGAAACTGTTGGAAAACCTTTTTCCAGAGAAAGCCCGAGCCGGAACAGCCAATCGTGCGCCATGTTCTTCCGCCATGCGGTGGATACTGGTCTTGGGACAAGCGGAGCTGAAACAGAGCCCACAGAGCACTGTCTCCTAGCCCCGTCTGGGTGTCGGGCGTGCCCATTGCAAGGGAAGAACAAAATGAAAGACACTGGTCCAGTCGTGGTAGTCGTGTGTGTGTGTGTTGCGTTTGTTGTTTGTTGTTTGTTGTTTGCTGTTTGCTGTTTGCTGCTTGTTGTTTGTTGTTTGTTGTTTGTTGTTTGTTGTTTGTTGTTTGTTGTTTGTTGTTTGTTGTTTGTTGTTTGTTGTTTGTTGTTTGTTGTTTGTTGTTTGTTGTTTGTTTTGTGTTGTTGTTTGTTGTTTGTTGTTTGTTGTTTGTGTTGTTTGCGTTGTTTGTCAAAACATAATGCACGGCACTCCTGAACACACACAAACGTGAAAACAACAACAAATGCAAAACCAAATGCCAAAAAAAGCAAGTTGCCTTCAACCTCGCCTACATCCTCGAGATAATCGAGAACGGCATTCCTGAACACACACATGTCAAAAAACAACAAAAATGCAAAACCAAATTTCAAAAATGCAAGTTGCTTTCAACCTGACCTACCTCTTCGAGATAATTCGAGAAAAAATGAGATAGCCAAAAACCACCCAAATCTAGACCCCATGAATCTAGACCCCATAAATTGGTTAGGGAAAGAGGGGGCCCAAACACTTCAACCTGAAATGGTCGCCTAAGGATCACGTCCTACAGAACCCGACAGCTTGCCCTCGAACTTTGGAGGGCTTCCCTCAGCACCAGACTGATGGAAGCCAGCATTCATGAACCCCTGGTTGATGAATGTGTGTGCCTTTCTCGGGGGACCCCCAGAAAGGTGGCTTCCCTGTTGACGTTTCTGTTCAAAGGGGTACTCTCAAAAAAGACACGCCCAATGGTAGAGGGCTGTTCAAACAGAAAATGGGATGGGGAAAGAAGGGCCCCTACTAGCGCAGCAGGTTGAGTACTCCAGCGTCACAGTTTCCAGAATCTCCCGGCACCCTTTTGCAGTCAGCGTAAAAGCGAATGCCAACAACTCGAACGGGAGAAGCCTGAAATACGCGATGTTTTCTTGAACCCACGGAGAGAGAAGGGCTGAGCAAAGCGCCACCTTCAACCAACGGCTGAATGCATGTCTCTCGGGAATTCGAAAATCGTTGTGCGCCTGCTCCCTGCAAACTTTAAGAAAAAAGAGGCCAACTGAACAACCCGTCGTCGCAGATCACAGCCAGAGCCCCGACTGCCTTGCCAAGCTCGGCATCATAGACCCCAAGCCTCGGAGCCACCGAGGGGCACGCACCAAATTGGTGCTTCCTATGGTCTTTGAAAGTTGCCAGCACCAAATAAGAGCGACACGGTTCCTGAAGTTTTTGCCTGCAAGCAAGGCTTGATTTCGCCCTGGCGTAGCCGTGGAGTCCTCCTGTTGTTTGCTGGCGAAAGCCTGCTTCTGCATGTGGCCCAAGATGTTTCAAGCCTCCTTCGAACGGCGCAGCAGTGTGGTGTTTTTTTTTTGTGCGACTTGAGCACGGCTGAAGGGGACTGGCCCACAAAAAGCTGGGATCCAGTCTGATCCGCACGTTCAGATTTCAACATCAGGCGGATCGATACCATCAGCTGTGTTTTTCGCCTGGATCACTGAATATGCCCATTGTTGTAGAACTAAAAGTCAGCAGGTGTTGGCCACTGCTCAGATTTTTGGATGTATCCTTCCACAATTCTCTGGGTGCCCTCTTTCTGGGCTCTCGCAAAGGTCTAATTACCGGAGGGGGGTGCCTCGCGGGGGGGCCTGGGGGGTCTTGCAGAGCAAGGCGCTGGTAGGATTTCTTCTTCTTGGGCAAGTTCATCTCCAAGAAGTTCACCTGAGACAAGGCAGAAAACTGATGTGTTCTTCCTAGAATTGGAAACCTGCTGCGGACGGACAGACGGACGGACGGACGACAACGACGACGACAACAACGATAACAACGACAAACAAACAACCCGGCAAACCGCAAACCAGCAAAACCCTTAAACCGACCAACAAAGCAGAAGCCCGACGAACAAACAACCCAGCAAACAAACAACCCAGCAAACAAACAAGCAAGCAAACAAACAAGCAAGCAAAAAAAAAAAAAAAGACAGCCAGCCAGCCAGCCAGCCAGCCAGCCAGCCAGCCAGCCAACCAAGGGCGCCAACAGCCACAAAAATCACCAGCCATAGCATTCGGGCAATGGGGGGGTTGGTTTCAATACGGGCAACCAGGCTCGCGAAGCTGGGGGGACCTCCGAGGCGGGCAGGTGTCCTTTTCGGGAAAACTGATGGCCCCGATGGTTGATTGAACCACCAGGTAAACCAGGAATCCCCCTCTATTTTTCAACCAAATCAACCAATAAGGACACCTACTGTGGATGGACGAAATCCTGCACCACCTAAAAACCATGTAATGATAACTCCCCCGTAAAGACCAAGAAACAATGGCTTCAACCATGATTTCAAAGTGCTGCGGAATGGATTTCGCAACCATCCACAGTATGTTGACCCTCACCTTTTGCATTTCGGTCAACCTTCGCCGTGGCCAAGCTGCGAGTTCTTCCGTGGGTGTGCCCGCTGATACCGCGTTCACCTGGTTCAAGGCATCCTCGGCATCCTTGAACCTCGAGGCTAGCGATGTATATAAGTCACTGGGAACACCCAACCGAGTTTGACATGAATACGTGCTGACAAAGCGTGGTGTGTATATGTATGTATATAGCACATGTGCTTCTGTGATGCTGTTTAATTTATCGTTTTGTTCTCCGCTGTTTTCTTGTTGGCTGACCTATGCACGCATTTGTTGATTGATGTATTCACGTATGGACCTACACTGCCGGCACAACGCTGCCGTCCTCGCCTGAGCAAGGTTGCAAGGAACCCCTCGTTGCAAGATCCCCCACTAACTGGGAAAAGTATGTTGGTTTGGACTTTAGGGGTAATTACCTTCCCCATTTGGTTTGAAAAGATTGGTACTCGGGTTCAAGCCCCCAAACACCAATCCAAACCAACTAGGGGCAACCTGATCCACCCCCAAACATGAGGTCCAAACAAAGCACAGGACGCCCTGCCCAGCGCACAATCCCTCAAAACTACGTGCTCTTGCAACCAGACGGGTGGCAAAACGGGCGAACCCCGCTTGCCCAAAACAAACGCGCCTCGACAATGCCAAGAGGCGGCGTCCATGCGTGCAACCCCATAATCTTACCGAACTTCTTGACGTCGAGCAGGGCATTCTGCACCTGGCCAAGTGATGTTTCACTTTTTGCGGAAAGAACGTGCAAAACTTCCCGCGTGATGACCAGAGGTAGCGGAACCTTTTGCAACGGCCACCAGGGGTTTTGGGCCCTTAGAGTCAGCTGTGCAACGGGGAGTGACGGCCAGCTGCGTGTTTTCCAGTCGCTTTTTAGTGGCTGGCTTGCTGGGAATTTACTAGAATAACGATCAATAATGCACACAAACATACGCGACCCAAGCGGACCGCTCATTGACGGCCAAAATGGAAGTCAGCTAGCGCGAGGTGCAATACAACATGGAGGGAGGCATCCGCACATTGAGTCGGAAGACTCGACAATGAATAATTCTACTGCCATGGAAACATGCAAAATGAACAGTAGCCAAAAGCACAGGCAAAAACTCCTAACACGTCGTTGGTTGCACGGGAACTTGCCCGAGTGGCTCCAAAAGCCAAAAACGGCACAAGGGCAGAACGTTGGGCTTGTTTTTTTTGAGGGTACCCCATGTTTGGTGCTCTACAAGGGAAACCAAAAGGAAAACAGCCATGTTGTTGTTGTTGTTTCTTTTCTTGCTTCTGTTTTTTTCCTTTTTTTTGGGGGGGGGCCAAGGACGCCGATCAATGTTCTAACCGATTCTCCCTGCTGTGGTCCACTTGTTACTGGCTTCTCGGGCGTCTTGGGAATGAACCTGAAGGGTACCGCCCAGGAAACCACAAGGAGGATGGTTTATAGGAGTCCCAGCAAATTTAAAGGCTCAAAGAAGCCCTCCTTACCAGTCGCTCGCATCCGCTTCGGATGCCAATGGGCGGCCTCCTCTTCATTCTCTGCGGTCTCTTCAAACTCCTTCTTCAGAAACAAGGCATAGCCTGTCGAGCTAGCTCTTGGCCATACATCATGTCTAGCCCTGCCCCAAGCACAACTATGTTTGCTTCTGGTCCACATGTTTTGTGCAACACCAAGCCGAAAGGGATCACCAATCTGGGCTGCCCTCCGATCCCCCGCTAAAAGTTTAACTTTTGGTGCCCCGCATGATGATGGTTCGTTACGTGGCCGGTAGTGGAATCACCACGAACCACGAACGGTTGGTCAGACGAATTGGTGCAAGGAATGCCCCCAAGTGCTATTCGTTGGAAGGGCGAGTTTAAGCGCGCTCTTTGGCAGAAACTCTCAAAACCGGGCTCGCACCTCCATCGGCCCTTTTGGTCGACCACGACACTTGAGGGGGGAGGCATTCGAGGCAAAACAACCGGCCCCTCGCAATTGTGCGGTGAATCCAAATGGGCGTGCAGGCGAAGCCATGCTTTTGGACGAGCATAGTCAAGAGGCAGTTTTGATGAATGGAAATTTAGTGAGCAGTTCATGCCCCAAGCCCTACACTGGCCGCCAAAGACAAAACATGCTGTCTTGGATCGAACCTCATGTCCCAGCGAAAACTGAGCAGTCGCCTGCGGCGCTCTCATAGAGCAAGTACGTGGTCATCTCTGCCTGCAAGGGCTGCAGCGAGCGCCACCCAGAACAACTCTTCCAGTGGCTAGCGTAGCGTTTCCAACGAAGACTTGCAGCCACTTCGTAAGATCCCAGCCACTTTAAGCCGAAGCCACAGACTGATTCGGAGCCGTGGCAGGGGGAGCCGTCATGATCCCTAGGCACCAAAAGTCGCTTTCTCACAGCACGCAGCAGCCATGCCAACCAAGGGGGTCCAACAATCCTCTAGCTGTGGAAAAGAACCCAGCTGTGATGCCAATCTGGGATCTCCATGCCTGTTACGTGGCCAATGTAAAGAGGATTCCCTTGGCATTGCAAAAAGTGGCAACCAAAGAATCCTTTTCCCACAGCCAGTGGGAAAGGGTCTCTCCAGCCGAAGGTTGCAAAAGGCCTCTCTTCAAAGTTGGCCCCAGCCTCTGTTGCGGGTCCGGATTCACCGAGCCCTCTGAAACCAAAAGTGCCGCGGAAGAGAGGCGGGCGCGATGGAGTTCGGGTTGCGTCCTTATGTTTTGCTTTTTTATTGTCTTTGTTTAATCTGCTTATGTGGACTCTACATACTGGTGGGCAGGTGCAAAACGTTATTAACTTCTAAGAGTTATGTGTGCATCCTCAATGCACATCCATGACACGAATATGTACAGTATATATATATATATGTGTGTGTGTGTGATTATGTGTGTGCATACACGTATACGTAGACAATGTCAACCGTAAAAAGCAACGAAAAACACAATACTGGGCGGTGGTAACCGTGTCAATACAGAATTAGCCCGTCATTCCCCAGCCACGAAAATTGTCCTGCAAACAAGGGCGACCAGTGCCCCACATTGAATGTGGATGTCCGCCCCATTTGAACCTCCAACGGCCCTGTCTCGTCACGTTCAACCAACCGCAAATGATCTTTCAGCACTCCCCACAGGGGAGCCTGTTGCACAGACAATACAAACTGCAGGTCTTTTGGGCCGGGCCCCGCCCAAGAATACAGAAGTTCAGCTTCCTTCCTGCCTTTGTACTAGTCAAGTATTGGTTCCCAAACGGCCATGGGCCTACGTTGGCCTTCTCCCAACTCTGTGGACTACTTTCCGCTTGCCAAACCGCAGACGTTTGGATGGCGGGGGCATTACACAGACCAGAGCCTCGCCACTTTGCCACGCCCAGCAACGGTAACACCAAACGGCTGAAACTGCCATGGAGCTTAGTGACGCGCTGCAGCCTGCACTTGCTGGTGCTCAAGGAATGAGAAATGGAATGAGAAATCTTCAACCACATTCCCTACCGATCTTGAACCAGCAAGTTGGGCCCCCCGCGGGGCTTCGCCGGCTTCGCCTTGCACGCCCACAGATCACAGGTTGGTCTGTCCCAGGTGTCTTCTTTGGAGTTGGCACCCGGGTTCCCTTTTCACAGCCGGAACCTGACGTTCGGGAAATGGTCCAGAAAATATGGTCCAGCCCAGGACCCCTCGAACGTCAGGTTCCATGTGGATTGGTGGGAGGGTACCCCTTTGTTTGAGGTGTTAAAGGGAAACCAAGAGGAAGAAGTCACCATTTCGGACGGTCCCCGAACAGAAAGGGCGCAGCCAAGTGAGGTGTCAGCTGCTTTGAAAGGGGATTTCAGGTTTGGTGTTGGTGAGTGGATGTCCCATATTGGAGGGGATCCACATCACTTTCGGGGAAACACCCCGCCAGGTTGATTGATCCGTCAATGTCATTTGTTCCCCTTCAGCCCAGCACTTTTTTGGCAAGTTCAATTGGCAGGCGCAACGGGGACATCCCTGGCCTTGAAAAAATCCAGAGTCATGTGTGATTGTTGCTGTCTTTTTGCCTGTCCAGAATGATGCTGACACCTGAGAGCTTGTGCTTCTTGTTTCGCTGGCACTCAAATTGCAGCGCCATCCGCCCAACATTGTTTGCACCAAGGACCTAACCACACAACAAGGATTGCCGTGGTTGAAGTGGAATGTGTAGCTCCCTGACTCAGTTGAGCCGCAGGATCCAGCCGATCCAGTTTGGCAGCTTGCAAGTGGGAAAGTCGTTAGACGTTGAGTGGCCTACGGTTTCCGTGGGGGATTCTGATTGCTTGCGGCGTGCATCAAACACAAATCATCACCCGAGAATCACCTGCATGCGCCGCAGGCTCAGGGCAGATATCCCAGGCCCTCTGGTTTGAAAGAAAAGACCCGAAGGAAGCAAGGCTCTCTCAATGAGTGAAAACAGACGGGGGCGCCAACCTTTAGCAACCATCTTCGCCCCGCTTGCGAGAAAAAATATGGACCCATCCCACTTCCTGCGCGTGCCTCCTCCCCGGAGGAATCCCCACCTGGCGATGCTCGTGTCCGAACCCGAGGGGCATCCCATCCCCGGATCCCCCCTGAAAATGCTCCAACCGGTGTGGGCTTAACGCTACTTGACATTTGGAAGATTCGGTGAGGCCCCGAGTTGTTGTCAGATGCAGGGCAATGCCACACGCCCCTCCAAATGGACCATGGGCATAATTAGGACCAGGCCTCGAATGCTCCGATTTGTCCATGCTTACTGATCAAGAGAGATGCCAGAAAGCCACACCCCATTCTGAGCCATCCAATGGAAATAGGTCCTTCTCACAAGGACTAGGGACGCAAGTCGAGGCAGAGCTCTGCAACTGTTGGTTTCACCTTCGGCCCCTGTTTCTTCCACCCCTCCCCCACCCCCACAGCAAAGCAAAGGGTTTTTGAACTACAAATGCAATCAACCCCCTCCCCGCCATTCCTCTAGGGCCACCCCTTGCTTCACAGCTTCCTTTTGATTTCCATCTTAAAAACCAAACCTGGGCCTGATTGTTTAAACAACTTTACCCCACCCTGGGAATGGTTTGCGCCGGGTCCCGGTAAGCGGAGCCTAAGTCATCCTGCGCAGCCGCGCAGAGGGTCTTCTTCCTGAGCGCGGAACGGTTGCCAGACGGATCCGGACAAGTCAACGTGGGTGGAGCAGTAAGCAACGGCAGCTGAAATGAGCCGAAAGCCCACTGGGAGTGCATGAGCGGACCCGCCAGACAGGGAAAACACATGTGAGCCATTGAGGTTTGGATCTGAGCCATTGAGGCTTGGATCTGAGCCATTGAGGTTTGGATCTGAGCCATTGAGGTTTGGATCTGAGCCATTGAGGTTTGGATCTGAGCCATTGAGGTTTGGATCTGAGCCATTGAGGTTTGGATCTGAGCCATTGAAGTTTGGATCTGAGCCATTGAAGTTTGGATCTGAGCCATTGAGGTTTGGATCTGAGCCATTGAGGTTTGGATCTGAGCCATTGAAGTTTGGATCTGAGCCATTGAGGTTTGGATCTGAGCCATTCAGGTTTGGATCTAGTAAACAAGGCGATACATAGGCTTGACTATTACTCCAACTAACCCAGATAGAACAACCAGCCACAAAAATTGCCCATCGAGTTTTTTTTTTATTTTTTTTTGTAGATGCTGCTCCCATGGGCTGACCATTGGGCAAATCATTTGGAAATCCTCAGCAAAGAACCTTCAGCTAAAACCAAGCATGGCTGATACAGCGCCCTGAGGTCAAGCCTTTTTGCTTGTCCAATCGCCATAACTTCGCCGCATAGGGTTGGCCCCAAGTTGATCAACCTGACCCATCAAGGTTCGGGGTGCTTCACCAAAACTTCCTGATGGATTCCTCTGAGGTTACCCCTTTAACCCACCACCTGACTAATCCTGTCCGACCGAGCGCACCATCAGTGGCCAGCATCCCCCAATCAAAGGAGGCCGGGTTTTGCACCCCAAGAGTTGCAGTCAAATGGGTCAAATCAAAGAGACATGGAGAAATCCTTCATTGGGATGTACCTTGTGTTAAATGAAAATTTGTTTGGATTAAACTGAATGACTATTTGTGTGTTTTCTTTTTTGTTATGTTTGACTGATTTTCAGGATTCCTCGTTCCATCCTTGCATCCAAGCAACTTCATCTTTCTCCACGCACCGGGCGCCTGCAGGGTTGACCACCCTTCGAGAAACTGGGCCACATGAGGTTTCGGTCCAACAGATCCATTCTCCCAACAGAAAGCACCAAAGAGCGCCGCCATTTCATGAGATGATCCCCCCTGCCCAAAACATGCCTTCGGGAGGGGGCCAACCCCCCAAGCCCCCCAAACCCCCAAGCCGGCCTGCCGCCAAGGGCGCTCATCGACCGCATCCGGGTTCGAGCCATGCTGCCACATCCAAAAGCTTCGGCCCAGCCCGCCACCAGCCGCCACCAGCCCGCCACCAGCCCGCCACCAGCCCGCCACCAGCCCGCCACCAGCCCGCCACCAGCCCGCCACCAGCCCGCCACCAGCCCGCCACCGGCCCGCCAAACCCGGGAGTCAATTGCTTCCCCATCAATAGCCCCCCCCACCCCTCCGAGCTTTTTAAACAGGGAGGAACCAGGATATATTTAAAACTCTAGATTTTCAGGTAAGTTGGAGGCCAGAAGGAAAACAACAACAAGCGATTCCATTCTTCTTCTTTTTGGACACACCGCATGCATAATTGCATTCTGTTCACTTGGCATTGATATATAACTCACGCTCCACTCATCAGAGAACATTTGGAGGTCTATAAGGGTGTCCATTTAGGGGGCTAGGGCTTATCTTACGTTTGTGCTGGGCTAATCAAGGGGTGGGCCCCCCACACGCCCCTCCCAACCTCTAACCCTCCCCGTCCCTCGGCCACGGGCTTCTTGTTGTGGATTTTGGGATTTGTTTGATTGTTCGCGTGTGGCACTGAGCCACGAAGACGGGAGGCCGAGCCCTTTGCATGCGCTGGGGCGGAGCACCGCGATGAGTGTCTAGCGTTAGGATGGCAAAAGTAACCAGAGGCCCCAAAAAATTCACCCTCTCGGAAGAATTACCCCCAGTCGCAGGCAAACACCATTGACAAAGTGTCTCGCGGCCTCCCGACTCCGGCTCGAGATCTCCGGACACGCGGGGCCGATGCTTCGACGCCCTTCGGCGACGAACAGCCCAGCCGGGGGAGCCGCTGGCCTGGGGGCGCGCCATTCGGCGCGGCCTTAAGCGCGCCGGTGCGGAGAGGCCGCCCTTCCCAGGAAATGTTCTCAGAGACCTTGGGTCAGAACCGAACAACTGGGTCTGAGAACCTTTCCTGGGGGGCAAAGAGGTCCTGTGGAACCCCTGGCCAGGCGCCGGGTCGCAAAACGTGGTACGATCTGGCCTCTGCGCATATCATTTGCGGTGGCGGCATCTTTTCATATTTCCGGTCCTTGTGCATGTGATGCTACCCATTGACGCGCGCACACGTTCGTGACATGCTGACAGGCCACGGTGGAATTTCGCCTGCCCTTGTGGCCGGCCGTTTCAAAGGACCACGCAAACCTCGGCGCTTGCGGGGCTCTTCGAACCCGAGGTGTCCCCAAGCCACCCCAGGGTTGCAAACCAGGGCAGCCTGGAACTCTAAGAAATCAAAGGCTTTCCAGAGGACTCGCCTTGTAGCAAGGAGCTCCCTTGAAGGAAACCGCAGCACATTTGCCCCGACTCTCCCCTGAGCCAATTGGCCAGCGCCAGCCGGCGCCAACCCAAACGAAGGGGTTGTAACCCGTTATTTTTCCCCGCGGGGTTGCGCAGGCCATGATGAAAGAATTAGATATTCTCCAAAAAAGAATCCCCTCCCTGACTAAAACACCCACGTCATGGCCGAGCCTGTCTGACCCTCGAATCTGTGAGCTCGCCATAGAATGGGCGGAGGCTATTTACAAGGTCGAAAGGGCAGCCACAATCAAACCGGGTGTGGAGCCCGGATTCATAAACCGCATGGTTGATGAGGTCCCCTTTAAGTCTGTAAGTGTCACTTTTGGAGGGAACACCCCCCCTTCAGTGGGGATTCCTCACTTTTGAGGCACAGGTCGATTGGTTTTTCTTTCTTTTTTTTCCCCCCCGCGGCCGCGCGCGGAACCGAAGCACCGACCCCCCGCCGAGCCGCCGAGCTCCGGCGTGTCTTGGGCGGAGCCGCCTCGCTGGCCAGGAGGTTCTGGCGCTGGTACCACGCCGCGATGGCCTGGTTCCTGGGCGCGCAAAAGCCCGTGGAACCCCGGCCCTACCACTTGCTCAGATGCCATGCATCCAATCTTGGCTGGTCGAGTTGAAAGCGCAAGGGAAAAAAGGGCGACACTGGGCAACTGGGTTGCCTTCAGCGTCACATGGGAAAGGATTCAAACCAAAAGAGACACCCGCCCCCCCAATTCACAAGAGGAGTTGTTGTTCGCGACATCAGTTTGCGCGACAGGCGCGGCACTTCGGCAATTCGCAGCACAGTTTGCGTGGCAGGCGCAGCACTTTAAGGGCGAGAGAAAGAGAAAGAGAAAGAGAAAGAAGAGACGCAGAAAACTATAGTTCTCACAGGATTGAAACTTCTGCCCCCAGGCTCAGCTGGCTTTACCGGTATGCCCAGTTCAGTCCCTAAGAGAATTAGTGCATTGTATGTAGGCCCTCACTATCTGGGTGCATTGGCCACTTGCTAAGCAGGGAAATTCGTCATCTATCTGCGCGTGTGAATGCATACGGATGCTTCTCCTTGGGTATGTGCTTTTTGACTGCACCCTTTTACGGGGGACAACCCGAAGGACAACTATTTCCCCCATTTTGATTAACACACCGTCTTTGGCGCAGGCCACAGAACCCGTTGATCACATCAGAGGGGCAGCTCCATTTTGGAGATGCGGCCATCTCGATTCACGTCCGCCTGGTCCAACACAAAGTCCTGGGCTCTGGATCGGTGGCTTGATGTTCTGGTTTCGTATCTACCCTCTACAAGCAGGGCCTCAAATCCCCAAGCGACAAATCCCTATGCAGAACCTGATAAATGGTTTGCAGGATACCCTCGAAAGCAAGCTTCAGAACCCAAAATGCAACCAATCGGTACATATGAAAGCGCTTCGGAAGAAAACGAGACACAATCACGCCGAGTGTGACCAAAGGGCCGCTGCACTGCAGGACCGCCTTTTCCAGCCGCCTCCGGCCCCCACCACTGCTTGCAGGGTATCCCCTTTTTTTCTGTAGTCTATTTTAGTAGGGGAACCCTCCCCAAAAAAAGAATCGGTAAAAGGCACTGCTGGGGGACCTAGGCCATCTTCTTCAAGGGCAAAGATGTATGTAAGAGGTCACATTCAGCCGAGGGCTCCAGGTCATCCTCGGTCACCTCCTGGCGCCGAGTGGAGAGAAAAAAGAAAATAAAACGCACTCTCCCCGGAGGCCTCCGCAGGATTTCTTTCGCTTGGCCTTCGCCTTATCCATCGCCAACTGGTTTGAATGAATCCCAGGCCTTTTAGGAGGGCCACCCTGCTCCAAGATTCGGCACAGGTCGGAAGCACCCAGGGTGCCGCACATCCCACGAGCCGTCAGGAAAACGAGCCGCATGACGTAGAGGATGCACGTTCGAGGTTTTCCGAAGCGATGGAACCCACTGAGTTCAAAACCCACCCACAACTCATGGGCAAGTTCCCTCCACTTTCCGGAGCTGGTGGGCAGTATCTTTGTCAATCCATGCAGCAGTTTTTTGCGTCGCAGCCAGCTTCGGTCCGCGTTGCGGGCGAAACAAGGAAACAAACCATGTTTGGGAAATCCAGAGGATTCCAACTGATTCCAAAGGAAACCAGCCATTCTCTTGATGATCACAGGAATACAATTTCTTAGGTTAAATCTCATCCCCCTTGCCCTTTTAGGGATCCCCCCCCCACACACAGAAATCCCGTAAGGCCTTAGCAAAATTCCGGTAAGGTTTGTACGGCTCGTTTGCGGGAAACAACCCTGCACACCTCGAAGAAAAGCGGGCGTCTTCTTATCCAGAGTGCAAATACCCTCCTTCCAACCCTACTCGTGCGTCCTTCGATTTTTTTGTTCTGGGGATCCTTCGATTTGCCCAAATCCGAAGCTTTGTGGAAACCTTCAGCCGAGCGAGCCAGAAGGTTTATAACCATGACGTGCCCAAACCCTGTTCTCGCGCAGAACCATGGTTGGGGCCTACTCAACGGGTTGCACATCCACAAGGATGAGGCAAACAAACCAGGGCCAACGCCAAACTGAGCCTCGACCCCACCAGGCCTGCCCCCCGCTCAAGTCGGAAAGCATGGCCTCACCACTGTTTTCTGCGAGCGTGCGTGGGCTGGGCTGGGCTGGGCTGGGCTGGGCTGGGCTGGGCTGGGCTGGGCTGGGCTGGGCTGGGCTGGGCTGGGCTGGGCTGGGCTGGGGTGGGATGGGATGGGGTGGGGTGGGGTGGGGTGGGTGAGCCTCAAGGGAAACGCAAAGAAAAACTGGTTTTGGGTCTCTCTTCTGATCAATCATTGTCAATGGCCTTCTGAACTCTGACCTTCTGACAAGGGTCACCCCAATCGAACAATTGCTTCTAAGTGAATCCTTGCAAATCAGAACGGCTCCCTCCAGAGCTGCCGAAAGGAGGCGGCACGACCCTTTTCCTCACACGTTGTTTTCTTGGATTCCATGGGCAGGGCGGTTCCAGCTCTCAGCTGCAGCGCAATGGGCTCCAAAGTGAAACCTCAGCCCTTTGAAATACTGTGGGTGGACGACATCCTGCAGCACCCAAGAAACGCTGGAAGGATGACCCCCCCCCAATAAATACCAACAAATTGTTTGCCCATGGATTCAAAGTGGTGCAGGATTTTGTCCATCCACAGTAGGATACCCCAACTTCTGTTGCGGTGTGATGTCAGGTTCAAGGGCCAAGAAACTTGCAAAGCAGTTGATTTGGTCCAAGCCACAGATGTAAAGCAGCGGCTTGGCCAAAGCTGGTTTTTGTGTTGCCAAATCAGAGGTACCCTCCCGTCCAACACCATGACACCTGCCCACGTTCTGGGCGAATCCTATCTCTGTGCTTACCATTCATGCGGAGACCAGTTTGCTCCAACCCCGCCGCCCCCCCCCCCAAAAAAAAAAAAAACAGCATGCGGTGCTCTTTGTTGTGCTCGCACCACCCTGCAGCCCTCGCAGAAGCTCGTGGAACCCTCGTGGAACCCTAATGAGTGGAACC